TGACTTCCACTCTGGAGTCGGACGACGCCCAGCTCAGCCTGCAGTTGACGCCAGGCTCTGCACCACTCGCACAAAATCACAGCCACGTCTGCAGAAACCCAGTGGCCTAACGGTGGGGACTCACAAGTCTGCACCCGGGGCTCATCGGAAACGCACCCGGGGTCTTCATGGGTGAGGACGCAGCCACTGACTGCTCCAAGATGAAGAGAGACTCTCAGAGGACCTCCTGAGGACGGTCACACGGGGTGTCCACCCCTGAGTCAGAGGCTGTACGCAGGAGTCCTCAGCAGAAAGTCACGCTGCTCTGAAGCGTGGTGCCAGTTGAGCCACGAAGGCCGAATCTTTTTAATTATTACAAATAAAGCTGCTTCCAAAAATGGCTTTCTGGGAATGCAGTCCTCACTGCCAGCTGGGCGTGAGTGCTCTTGGCTTGCGCCTCATGGTGATATAGGTGGTCCCATAGCTGATGAGAGCCCCCTCTCTTTATGCTTCCTTAGAAAACGCAACGTGTGCATCTCCAATTAACTACAGAAAACCCACCCCATTTCTGTGTTCACTTTGGGAGTCTGAGACCCTTCGAGAAGCCTCAAACAGCTCACGGTGATCTGACTTTGTAAGCAGGCTCCCTTCAGGAGAGAGCCATTTGTCAACACAGAAGATGAAGGCGGCTTCCTGGGTATCAGTGTGGCTGCACTTGGTCTGTGGGAACCTGGGCCACACCAAGTCATGCTCCAAGGGAAATACAGTTTGCATGCTGAAGATGGCTGGTACGTAGCAAAAAAAGTAGGAAACAACGTTGACTTTGAGCTTGTCCACTTACCATGGTTCCATTTTGTTTGTGCTTCTTCTATAAAAATGGGGGGACAAGAGGGGAAGGTATAGCTCAGTGGTAGAGCGCATGCCTAGTGTGTACAAGGTAACAAATAAATAAAATACACCTAATTACCCCCCCCCAAAATGGGGAACAAATCAAAACCACACAGAGATCCACCTCACATCCCTTAGGATGCCTACTGCCAACAACAGCAGAAAATAACGTGTGGGCGAGGATGTGGAGAAGTTGGCACTCTTGTACAACATTGCTGGGAATGGAAAATGGTGCAGCCACTATGAAAAACAGTATGGCGGTTCCTCAAAAAGTTAAACATAGGATTCCCATAAGATCCAGCAATTCTACTTCAAAATATAGACCCCAAAGAACTGAAAGTAGGGTCTGGAAGAGCTACTGCTACACCCATGTTCACAACAGTATTATTATTCACAAGAGCCAAAAGGTGGATTCAACCCAAGTATCCAGTGATAGATGAATGAGTAAACAAAATGTGGTCCACGCACACAAGGGAATATTATGCAGCCTTGAAAAGGAAAGAAATTCTGGCACCTGCTCCAATATGAATGAAATTTCTGGACATTACACTGAGTGAAATAAGCCAGCCACAGAAGGACAGATACTGTGTGATTCCACATTAAGTGATCCCACTTGAATGAGGCACCTAGAGGAGTCAAGTTCATGGAAACAGAATGTAGATGGTGGTTGCCAGGGGCTGAGGAGGGAGGGCTGGGGAGGTATTGTTTAAAGAGGACAAAGTTTCCCTTTTGAAAGATGAAAGGAATTCTGGAGACGGTTGTACAATGCTGTGCACGCACTGAACCGTACACGTGAAAGTGGCTGAGTTGGAGAATTTTATCATGTGTACTTTGCTGTAATTCAGATTATTAAATGGTGGAATTTACACATAACGTCACGCGCGGACACTCTGGCCGGACATTCCTGCTTTCACCCCGCCTCCACCTCCACCCTCCCCTCCCGCTCGGCACCCTGGGGGGCTGCCTGGCCAGGTGGGGTCCTTCACAGTCACTGGCGATGCCCCAGACTATCTGTGCTCTTCACCCAAAGGTTCCTGCTCTTCTCTGGGGTGGGGGCAGCTCTGCATGATCTCTCTCTGGGCCCCTGTGACCTTCGGGTGACACCAGGTTACCTGGTTGCCCTCCACCCATGCCTCTGTAAACCTTCCCTTTGAATCTTCGTCACTGATTATGCTAATTCGAGAGCGCCACCTGTCCCTGACTGTCACAGCGCGCAGTAAAACTTATCTTCCGTCTCCTTCTTCCTGCAGAGTTCAGTGTCTGTAAGTGAACAGCTCACCTGCTCCGTCGGGGACAGAGAACAACAGCAATTTCAGGAAGAGACAAGGTCAAAAGGACGGCAGTTGAACCCACTGGCTGCACCCACTAATCGCACAGGCGGGGGCAGGGAGCGTCCCAGACAGACGGGCGGACGGACGCAGCGTTCCAGCCCCAAGCCCCCTCGGCCCTCCCAGACCCCGCCCCATGCGATCCCCGGATTCTCGGCCACTTGTTCACGCGGAGTGTAAACAGCTCCTGAAAGCCTGTGGGAGCTGCTGCCCACTCTGATTTGACCACAGGACCTATTAATCTGCTCTGGACCTTGGGGCCCTGCTGAGTTCTCTGGTTCCAACTATACGATTCTTATCTAGGAGATAAAAGATCTGGCAGGAAGAGAGATTAAACTGAAAACTAATACAAATGATCGATCCATCTCATGGGCACTCTGGTGTGTAACTACCTCCCTCCCAGAAAAAAGCGGTTTGGGAAGGATTTGCACATTCACACGGTTTGGAATTGCAAGCTTGCTGGGGACTGTGAACGTTTAAATAGCAAGTCTGTTCCTGACAATGAACAAGCAAAATCCCTTTACAAGATCCTTCTCCCAGTCCTAGGGAAAGAGTGCTCAATGCAAGGTGCCTGTCTCGGGCTGGAGCGGGAGAGCCTTTTGATGAAGGCAACCAGCCCAGAGAACTTTCCATAGTTGCTCCCTCCCCTTCAGGGATGCCCCTCACGCCTGGGATCTGGAAGCCTGAGGAATTTCTGTCTTCCCCAGTCAGGCTATTAAACAAACCTCTGCTCCACAGACAGGCACCACTCATCTCTTACAGCTTCAAGCACCCAGAAACCACGAGGCGTTCATCTTGCCTCCACTGCCTGTGGGCTAAAAAGCTGGTGGCTTTCAATCTTTGCAAATGAACTGGAAGCTTTTTCCAATGATAAAAAAAAAAGTATGGCCATTATCGCAATTAGAAGTACCTGAGGAAGGAAAGTACTTTTCAAAGAAAATTCTCTTCATTGACAGAAGAACCATTGCTATTATCA